TTCTAGGTAACTGTCCTAAACTTTTACTACATTTCTGAAATTTTAGTTCTCAGCTTTTTAAAATTTATGTCCAGATTTTTTTTTTTTTTTTACACAGAGACCATATTTGTGTCTGTTACATTTCTGATTTTCAGAATTTGGGGCAGGGCATAGGGATTTTGGCTTACTGGCAATAACAGTTGTGTTGGAATTAGGACACAATACTTAGTGACAGGAAATATTATGGCTGCTTAAAAGTGAGGCTAAAGGAGGAAACAACCCATGTAATTATAAAAGGTAGGATTATTTTGATTATAGTTTTTTTGTTGTTGATGAGTACAGTAAGTATCATGTGGAATTTTCTTATGTGGAATACTATTATATACAAACAGTGAGATTTCATCTTTAACCTAGGAAGTATGTATGAAATGGTAACTGATTGGTGACTAGTATACTATTAGGTAATCTTGAAATGGACTATTTCAGTGATTGTTTCTAAATGTTAAATTAAGCATTTGCGTTAGACAACTGGCAGGATTTTCCTCCACTTAGAGGAATTAAGGTTTAGATGTCCTCAAAAAGTACTTGTTTTTTCTATAAATTGCTTCAGATGTTCACTTCCTCATCAAAACTCACTTTTTTTCAGGTTTTTTTTTTTTTTTTTTTTTTTTTAAGGATACATCAAGAATCAGCTTTTCTAAAAAATTATTGTTTTGCATAAATGAAAAGTATGTATGGTTTATAGAATTACCAAAAAGTTAAATATCCATGTAATCACTGCCTGGGACAAGAACTAGAGCTTCGCTAATCATTTTAAAAATCTTCCTTAGGGGCACCTGGGTGGCTCAGTTGGTTAAGCCGCTGCCTTTGGCTCGGGTCATGATCCCAGGGTCCTGGGATTGAGTCCCACATCCGGCTCCGTGCTCAGCAGGGAGCCTGCTTCTCCATCTCTGTCTGCCGCTCTGCCTGTTTGTGCATGCTCTCTCGCTCTCTCTGACAAATAAATAAAATCTTTAAAAATCTTCCTTGTACCCTCCCAGTTACTCTCTTTGCCTGCAAAGTTGATCCCTGTACTGTATGGTAATCAGTTACTTGTTTTTCTTAATGGTTTAACCAGAGCTTTGCAAAGGGTAAGTTTTCATTTAGTCAAGCAGGAGATTACTGATACAATGCAGTGGTTTTTAACCCTATTGGACAGGATCCCCATTTTTATATTTTATATTCTTTAATGCCCACTTTACCATGTCAAAATAAAGTTCATATATAATATTGCCTGCCAGCATATGGTTTTAAAATTTTAATATGATGTCCTAATTATAACGTAAAGGAGAAATAAAAAGAAAATTTATGACTTAAGCATTTCAGTGTAAATATTTGGGCATCACTACAACAAGAGGGAATGAAGTAGCCAGATACTTGTAACCTTCCTAATAACAAGTAAGTTTGGATTTAGTAGAACACAACAGTTATCTGAATAGGGCTGACTGGTTTTCTTTAACATTTTGACTTAATAAGAGCAAAATAAGAAAGTTTATGCATATGGGTAGAATTGTGTGTGTCACAAATGCTGATACAAGTGTGTTGTGATTCAAGTATCATGAGCAGCATTGCTGTTTGTACAGTAATTTTCTGTGATGGTAAACTTAACCTTTTCAAGTTTTGGAGGAAAGAAAACAGATTTTTCCTTTTTCACACAATAGATATATTTCTGGAAAGATTTTCATTAGTATGAATTCCTGGGAGGGGTTATTTGAAAATTCCATAGGATGACGGCATGATACTTACTTGTATGTGACTGCCCAGGCATTGCAGAATGTCTAACATCCTGTTCATCCCTGCATCCCCGCAACCCCTCCCCCCAACAATGTGTCCCCCCTGAGGAGGGAGCCTGATGTGGGATTTGATCCTGGGACTCCAGGGTCATGACCTGAGCCCAAGGCAGTCACTTAACCAACTGAGCCACCCAGGTGCCCCTCGCCAGGTCTTTTTAACCTGAGGATTCAGGGATCTATGATATATGGTAGCTTTTTTGTTGTTGTTGTTAGATTTTTCTTTATTATTACTTATTCTTATTAAGCGCCAGCTTAATACTGCAGAAAATTTCAAACCCTTTGACAACCCATTCTTCCCTTTCCCACCCAGATTCTTGATAAAGAGCTCTTAAAGTGAAGACAGGGTCTCTAGTCTCTCTCTCGGATGAGACTTGATCAAGTAAAGGTGAAGCTGTGTGCATCTCACTGTACAGTGCTGCCCACAGCTGTGTAGACAGTGCTTGCCCAGGCTCCTTTCATCGTCCAGGTCCCGGAAGACTCTTGTTCATGAACGGTTCACAAAGCCTTCACCGCCTCCCCCGGCACCGGCCCTAACCTCTCTATCGCACTCTTGCCCCCCAAAATTCCATGTAAATTTTTTGTGAGTATTTGGCTATTTTGGGGTATAGTATATAGCTTTCATCAGATTCTCAGGGGGTTCTGTGACTCACAAAAGTGGATCAGACGTTTCTTTCCATGATTTCTTATAACAGTTAAATCTGGTTATTCTTAAAGTGAATGCTCATCAGTGTGAGCTAAGTTTCCATTTTAACCTGGAAAATAGACTCAGACTCTGAGCTGTTTTCTGGGATAGCAGCGCATATGATGCTATGGTAGAGGGACACAATGGAGCCGAAAATTTCAAATTCAGACGTTAGGTGGGCTTACTCATTTGTTAGGTGGGTAGTTTCACATTTTACTGGTCAGGTTAATATATTCAGTTAAGAACTTTGTTTTAAATTGGTGGTCTTTTTTCTTTAGAAAAAAAGCCTTTTATATCTTCATCTTTATGTATTCATCAGAGGGTAAAAAATATCTTTTTTAGATATTAGATATAAAATAAAGATATCTTTACATCTTCATCAGGGTCTAAATAAAAAAGCCTCTTTTATCTTCATCTTTACATAGTTTGCATTTTTGTGTCACAGCCACAATCTATTATTAAAGATTTATAAGCTCAGGCAATATAAATTTTAAGTACTACTTCAGAATTCATATGTTGTTGGAATTGACACATGGTAATTTTCTAAATCACTTTTAATTAAGTCTGTTATTTTACCTTATTTTGGAAAATCGGTATTTTCCTCTAAAATTGAGGTGATTTAAAAAATTGAATTTAAACATAAGTATGTTATAAAAATAGGATTGTTCAAAATTAAAGTCTTGTGAAAGGTTTCTTTTGTCATGTTTCTAAGAAATTGTTTTCTTATCCATGCTTGCTGCTAATGTTGAAATAGCCCTATAAAAATTCACACATTCTTAAATATCTCTAGTAATTTATGAATTTTGAGAATGTTAAGAAATGGAATCTGTATATCTTTTAAGACTCCTAGTTTCATCAGTAGTTTAAAATATGTCTCTAGCCAATGATATTGTGGGTTCGAGTGCAAAATGGACAGATTACCCTGTTCCTTTTACCTCCTATGCTATAGTATTGGTGGAGTTGTTAATTAGCTGCTTGTGGAAAAATGCAAGCATTTGGTATTGAAGAAGTAAAGGGGGTAAAATAATACACAAATTGAGTGATTAATGTTACCATATAATTAAAGCAACCTGTTCAGAAGATCATACTTTGTATATATACTTAAAAAAAAATGCATACCTGTTGATTTAAACAGCTATTTTTCGTTAATTTTTTTGTAGCTGTTTCTCTGCCTTTGTGTTTTCTACTGTTGTTTTCTCCCTCTTAGGAGTTCTAAATCTTTGTTGGAAAATACTTTACAACTTAAATTTTGAGTGTAGAGTAAGATCATTTCATTCCTTAGGACTTGGAATAATTACCTTTTAACGACCTTAACTTTGGAGTCTTTTTCCTTGGCAGATCTGTTTTCATCTCCTGCACTGTTCTGAATGCCTCTTTTCATTTGACTGTTATTTGTTTTTCCCCTTCAAATCTTTGTCTTAGACGATTTTCCAGTATTCAAGTAAATGGGAAATAATCTGGTAGAGTTGAAGAATTTTCTCAATCTGGGTTCCATGCTGTAAGGTTTGCCTATAGTCATGCTTATTTTTGTTTCTTTAGATAAAGATAGTTTCTATAATAGTTGTCTTTGATTTTACCCTTTTTGCTTTTAAAAAATATAACTTGAAACTGATTGCTTTGAAAGCCATTTAAAATTGCTTTTGGTTTAGTTAGAAGTGTGTAGTCCCTGCTTCCTCTTGGATCATACCTTTAAGTTTGTATTTTGCCCAAAGTAAAAGATACTCATTTTATTGTCTGAATTAATTTACATAATGTCTTACAGGCTTTTCTTCAGCCAAGATAAAAAATGGCTGTAATCTTTCTTTTACCCTCTTTTAAAAAAAAAAATGAGGTTATACTAGTTAGGACTGATTTAATTCAAGTAGGAGTAGATTACCCTTCTGGTTTTTTTGTTTTGTAATCTCATGTTTGGGTTTATCAACAAAGTTTAGAAACTTTGTATCTAGAACATTTCACATAGTGCTTATAAGAAACACTTAACAAATATATGAGTGAATGAATGAATGAATGAATGAGTGAATGAATTAGACCTAATTGAGGTGTGAAGCAAGAACACTATTGTCACTAGATGTAGTATCTTTAGATAAAGAGATTTTTGCTATAAAATGGAATTTGCTTGGTAAAATCGATTTGAAGACCTGCACTGGTTTGCAGACCACTGGAAAAATCTCATCTCTTCAATAATGTGGTAAAAGCACACTGTAAGAATATAGTTGTGGGCTTACTTCATAATCAAAACTTTGAAAATACTTTTTATTTGATAGAAATAATACGTGTTCCTATAGAAATTTTATACAATATAGTAAGGAATGAAGAAGAAAATGACAGTTATTTGTAAGTCTACCACCTGGAAAAAAATACTGTTAGTTTTTGATACAGTTAGGTGCACAGACTTCAGTATATACTTTAAATAAAATTGAGGGTATATATATTCAGTTTTGAATTCTGGTTTATATGTGTGAATCCAATTAAGATTTTTTTCTGTTTTTGTTTTTTAAACCTTACAGGCCCCTTCACAGATGTAGTCACTACAAATCTTAAGTTGCGAAATCCATCTGATAGAAAAGTGTGTTTCAAAGTGAAGACTACAGCACCTCGTCGGTACTGCGTGAGGCCCAACAGTGGAATTATTGACCCCGGGTTGACTGTGACTGTTTCAGGTAGCAAATCATGTTCTGAATTTGAACGGTATTGGATTCTGACCTTTTTATGGTTATGTTGAATTTGGTGTTAATTAACAGGGTTTCATCTGGAGGGAGGGAGGGAAATAGTTTTTAAGTTATTCTGGCTTGCCTTAGTTCCTGTCCTTTGGTTTTCTTTTCCTATATGCCAGCTGTTGCAGAACATTTCATACCCTTATCTTGGGGTTGAGGGTATCTGTGGTCAATTTGTAAACAATAATTGTCATTTTAAATATTTTATATCCTTTATTTCTACCACTCAGTACCATATTCGCTGCCCTTATTATTTTATCTTTGAAATATGACATCATTTTTGTGATGGATCATTCTTTTCAGATCTCTAGCTGTTGTTACGTGTTGCATGCAGCTATACAAGTGTTATTCCAAGTCTTAAAAATGTACAATGCCTATTTTTTGCTGATTGTAGCAAATTAGATGAGTGTTTCTACCTTTCATTATAAATGCCAAAGTTTAGTTTTTTGGTTCCCTTTTATGTTTACTTGTAGTCCAGGGAATATGCTTGGTTCACTCTGTATATGGATTGCTGACCCCTGCTGTGGGGTCTCTGCTGTTGCTGTAGTTAATGCCCTCTCTAAACTTCTTTCTTCATCAGACTTCCCAAGACAGTACTCCTTAACAATATTCAAAGTTCTCTGTGACCCTGAATCCTCCATCAGTAGGTATAGCCAAAAACTGAGAGCTAGTTGGCCCTAGAAGAGATGTTTTTAGTGAGTAACGTGATATGGTGGCCGGGTAGGAATGTGTTTGTGTTTGTCCAAGTTCATGGGAAAGACGATGGGAAGGAAGATAAAGCAATGAGTACATGCATTTTGGAAGTTGCCTTCTAAATCTTTAAGCCTTTTAGCTAAGTTGGAAGAAAATAGAATTATTTCTATCCATGTGGTTAAAAATAGTTTCTTGGTGCATCTAGTTTGACCCTTAGGAATCCGTAAAACTATTCAGAATGACATTATCTTGGAAATTTCTAAACTGCTGAAGTTCTGTTGTATTATTATTTCTTAAAAGTTTGAATTGTGTAGGTTCACTTAGATGTGGGTTTTCTTGTGATAAAGACTATACAGTACTGTAAGTGTATTTTCTCTTACGATTTTTAAAATTTATTTTCATTTTTTAATTAGAGAGCATGTACATGAGCCAGGGCTAAGAGGGCGCAGAGGGAGAGGGAAAAGCAGACTCCCCACTGAGCAGGGAACTCGATCCCAGGACCCCCAGGATCATGACCTGAGCCAAAGGCAGATACTTAACTGATTGAGCCACCCAGGTGCCCCCCTCTCTCTCTTTTTAAAAGATTTATTTATTAATTTGAAAGAGAGTGCCTGAGCAGGGGAGGGAGAGAATCTCAAGCAGACTTCCTGCTGAGTGCAGAGCCCAATGCAGGGCTTGATCTTAAGACTCTGAGATCAGGACCTGAGCTAAAACCAAGATTCTCAACCAACTGAGCCAACCAGGCACCCTTCTCCATGATTTTTTTGCTTTTAAAAGATTTATTTGAGAGAGTGTGTGTGAGTGGGAATAAGGGCAGAGGAAGAGAGAGAAGCAGACTGCCTGCTGAACCTGGAGCCCAACATGGGGCTTGATCTCATGACCCTGAGAGCACATCTGAGCCCAAATCAAGAGTTGGACAGTCAACCGACTGAGGCATCCATATGGTCCCTCTTAACGATTTTCTTAACATTTTCTTTTCTCTAGCTTACTTTATTGTAAGAACACAGTATGTAATATGTACAGTATGGAAAATATGTGTTAATCTATCGTTTTTGTTATCATTAAGGCTTTTGGTCAGCAATAGGCTATTAGTACTTAAGTTTTTGGGGAGCCAGAAGTTACATGTGGATTTTCAACTGCATGTTACATGTTAAGTCCCTATGTTGGACAGAGGTCAACCTGTACTTCCAAAACTCTGTCTTCATAAATCCCTTTTGTTGAGCATCTGCCATATTAAAAACTCCAGACACACTAGTTACTGTTTCCGTAGCCTGCCCGCAGATTCTTCTCCAGTTAGAATTTAGCTCTTCAGTTTTTAGTGTATTGCGTTTCTTTATAAGTAGTCACTCAAACTGTGCTTCCTTCCTCTAGCAACTTTTCCTTGATTGACTTTGTATTACATACTCCTTTCTTTTTTCCTTTTTCTCTTTATCACTTAGTTTTGTGGGTTCTTTAAATTTGTCATATTTATTATTTTTTTAAGATTGTTTAATTCTTATATGGTCTGCAATAACTTAGAATATAATTGTCATAAAATCACAATCAGTCATGTTTTAAGTTTTCTTCTTATTCAATTCCCATTGATGACCCTGCAGTGATGGCTTAGTGAGGGCATTTAATGGACATTCACTGGGCTTCATGTGGATTCCGAAGCATTTATCCTGTGCATTTTTTTCTGCTTTGTATTTGCCCCTTCAAAATTTTTTTTACCCATGATGGGAGTTATGGACATCTCAGATTCACTTAGAATAGGATTTTCTTATGTAATTGCTGTTTCTCACATTTGCTTAATTGCATTTGTCTTTTTGAAAGTGTTGATATACATGTATAAAAGATATATCTTAGAAATCATTTACATATTAGGGGAATAATTTGTACAATACCATATGTATATATATTTTGTGTAACTATAGATTTGTTCTTATAGTCTTTGTAATATAAATTTAATAAAAGTTTTGTATCACCTCTAGTTCTAAGGAACCCCTAAAAATCCTCTTTTAAAGGCTACTGAAAATCTTGAGTGCTTAGAAAAATTTGAATATAATAACTGGGATGCTAGAAAGCTTCTGGAAATGATCAGAGTATACCTCTTCCTTATATACTTTTTTTTTTTTTTAAGATTTTATTTATTTATTTGACAGAGAGAGACACAGTGAAAGAGGGAACACAAGCAGCTGGAGTGGGAGAGAGAGAAGCAGGCTTCCCGCTGAGCAGGGAGCCTAATGTGGGGCTTGATCCCAGGATCCTGGGGTCATGACCTGAGCTGAAGGCAGACGCTTAACAACTGAGCCACCCAGGCACCCCTATACTTTGTTTTCTTAGAATGAGATTTAAACAGATTGATAAACTTCTTGAATAGATATTTAAAATCTATTTTTGAAATATTAGTTTTATTAGAACACGAAAATGTATTGAGTTTTGAAGTTAACTTTTAAATTCTCCTTTATGTATCCCTGCTGTTTGATTCTAAAAGATATTATCACTAAATACCAAATGAAGCCTTATATTTACAACTGGTTTTAATAGTTTACTAGATTTTAATCTGAGTTTATAGGTATTATAATAGTTAATGTTGGCAACATTTTGAAAATTTTCCCAAACTTTAATTTAGAGGAGGCTGTCATAGATTTATATTTATTTTTTAAGTAGCTGTTTATTTTGTTGGTTGTTAAAATAGTTGGAAACCATAAAGTTGATTCTGGATCCTTAATGTAACCAATCCAGGATTAGGTTTCTTGAACCCTTCCTGGTTTTCTTTAAGTTTGCATATTAGTTAATTAAGTAGTAGGGATGATAAGCAAATGCAGAAGAAACAAAGCAATGTGTTTTTTTCTTCTTATTTAGTAATGCTACAGCCTTTTGACTATGATCCCAATGAGAAGAGTAAACACAAGTTTATGGTACAGACAATTTTTGCTCCACCAAACACTTCAGATATGGAAGCTGTGGTAAGTATAGCGGTGGAATGGAATTTATTTTGAGGTATGTTGTTGAAAATGTGGGTTTTGTACAGTCCTTATTTGAGAAAGCTAATTTTTAATTTAAAAATACGTAAATCTGTTAATTATAGATAATTCTGACTTAATTTCAAGAATGAAAGAATTTTGAAATAGTATTTCTTAGAAACAGTTTAGAAATGCTACTGCGAGGAACAAAGCCCTTCAGTCTCTAGAGATGTTAGTGTGATTTTAACAGATGGTGATAGTAGGTTTCTTGAGGATTATATATTTATATTTATATTGCCAGATAAGAGGAGTAGGGTCGTCAGTTCGGAGTGCTGCTCTGTGTCCTGCCTGAGCCACAGACTCCACCTCTGCTCCAAACAGCCTCAGTCCCCTGATGTGAAACCTATTGGTTGTCCCTTGAGGTGTGAAACCTATTTGTCACAGTTAAACTTGCTCTGTCTCATGTTGGTTTTGTTTGTTTTTAGTGGAAAGAGGCAAAACCTGATGAATTAATGGATTCTAAATTGAGATGTGTATTTGAAATGCCCAATGAAAATGATAAATTGGTAAGTAGGAAAATGGGAGAAGATTGGAGCTATTAAGTTCTCATTTACTTTGAGATTAATTTTGCTTCTGTTTTTGGCCTTTTGGGAATGTGTGAAAATGCTATTCCACATTTTAAGACACAGTGCTTACTTAGGTTTAAAAAGAACTTGATATGCTTTTTTCATTTTAGAATATTTTGTCCACTCAAGAAGAAAAATACTTTCAGATACAGTCTTCATGATGGAGAAGAACCATTTAATTCTCCCAGTTTTTTTGCCACTTTTAAATAAGTTCAAGTTCTTTAGAATGAGACACACACATGCATAAATACAATTAAATAATAGGCATAAACCACTTTTTGACAACTGTATACCCGTAGCCTGGGGACAAAAGATTTAATTTACATGGAAAGCAGTTTATTCCAAGTTTGCCTATTCCCAGGTATTTTGTTTACTGTTGATTTTGGTCAAAATCCATCTGATTTTATTTCTTAGTAAATAATTTCTGTGTTGCTTTTTGATTAATGTCAGGCAAATACAATTTGAAAGACTGAGGAATATATGTGTACAGTTAGAAAGTTGTCTGAATGTATAGAATGAGTTGCGGTCACTTAACCCTATTCTTTTGCAATGCAGATTTTAATCTTTTTCTGTGGTTTGTTGGAGGGACTTGAAAAAGCTAAGTAGGTTTTTCCTTTTGGTGACTTAATATATAAAATAATACGGGTAAATAGAAATGGTGAGTACAGTTAGGTTGCACTCTGACATGACTGTTGCCTTGATCTGGAAGCTATTTGCCCTGTTGAAAAGGAAATTCACAGATTAGATAAATACCTGTAGTCAATTATTTTGTTACTCTTTTAGAATAAGCTGAAATGAAAGAGTCCCTGAGTGGTAATTTTTATTGTGTCTTTTAATCCCCTTTTAAAGGAATGTTGAAATATTTGCCAAAAATAAAAAATGTGAATGCGTATGTTCTTACTAGAAAGTGAGCGTTCACTGGCATATTGATGCTTCCCGTTTGGAGTTTACTTTCTCTTTTGCCTGTGCTGCCAGAAAGCTAATAGCTTGCTTAGTTTAGTTAAGTATGCCATTTAGATATAAAAAAGGGAAAAAAAGTTTTTTTTCCTTGGGATGAGAACTCTGAGGATTTACTGTCTTAACTTTCAAATATACCATATACTTGTGTTAGGTATAGTCATCATGTTGTATATTATATCCCCAGGACTTAAGTTGTGTCATGATTGGAAGTATTACACCTTTTGACCACCTTCAGCCAGTTCCCCCATGTTCTTTCCCTTTGCCTCTGGTAACCACAGATCTGATCTCCTTTTCCATAGGTTTGTTTTTATTTTTTATTTTTTTAGATTCCGCATATAAATGAGATTGTACAGTATTTGTCTTTCTCCGACTTACTTCATTTAGCATAGTGCCTTTGGGGGTCCATTCATATTGGCACAGATGGCAGGATTTCCTAACCAGAACTTCTATATTCATTCGTTGGTCCGTGGCCACTTAGGCTGTTTCCTTGTCTTGGTTATTATAAATAGTGCTGTGGTGAATATAGGGGATGCAGATAACTCTTTGATGTAGTGTTTTCATTTTCTTTGGATATATTCTGTGAAGTAAAATTGAGTAGAAATGCATCTGGATATTTTCTCACTTAGGGTTATGTCATCTTTTACGTTTCTTTAATTAACATGGTTAGAGCTGTGACTGTCTTTCATCTGGACTTCTGTTATACTCCGTATAGCAGACAGTTTGAGATTATACTCTGAAAAGGTTCACCCAAGTATCTGATATTATTGATTAAGAGTAAAAAAACCAAACTGGAAGTCGATGGAAATGATATTGCTATGATAGTTATGCCTGGCCATTTTAAGCACCCCATAGAGGAGAGTAGCAGGTGTACATACATACAGGTATGGCACCTAGTAATCCATGAAAGCGGTTTTGGGCTTGAATAAATACTGAACGGAGTTTCTGGAGTCCTATACCATGGAGCATGAGCAGAAATTGTTTGGCCCTGGAATCTTTTCAGAGCAAGTATTATTAGGAACCCAAAGTCTATTCAGTATAATTTCAGAGTACACCAGAGACTGATTCTGAGCCTAGATGAACTAGTTACAGAGTGTATTTCCGTTAATTGAACTGCTTGGACTTGTGGTGTAGTTACTACCTGATTAAATGGTAAGGAATAAGTGTTAAAGATAATGATTTTTTAAAACATTTTATTTGGAGGACCTTTAAACACTTAGGAAAGTACAGTGAACTCCTGTGAACCCATGACCAGTTTTAATAATGATCAATTTATGGTTAATCTTAATTCATCTAACCAGCCCCCTCACTTTTCATCTCACAGTATTGTTGTAAGGCAAAACAAGATACAATTTTATCTGGAATTGTTTTGATATATATTACTCAAAGATAAGAACTTTGAAAAAAGGAAAAAATTACTGACAATACTGTAATTAAGCCTTTTATTTTTAGTTTAATTTACATTCAATTAATTAGCATATGGTATATCATTAGTTTGAGAGGCAGAGTTCATTGAATCATCAGTTTATATAACACCCAGTGCTCATTCCACCTTGTGCCCTTCATGCCCATCACTCAGTTACCCCGTCCGTCTACCCCTTCTTCCCTCCAGCAACCTTCAGTTTTGTTGCCTGTGGTTTGTCTCTCTCTCTCTGATTTCATCTGGTTTTATTTTAACCTCCCCTTCTCAGTGCTCCTCTGTTTTGTTTCTTAAATGCCACATATGAGTGAAATCATATAATTGTCTTTCTCTGATTGACTTATTTTGCTCAGCATAATACCCTCTAGTTCCATCCATGTTGTTGCAAATGGCAAGATTTTATTTTTTTGATGACTGAGTAATAGTCCATTGTATATATATATACACACCACATCTTCTTTATCCATTCATCTATCGATAGACATCTGGGCTCTTTTTATTGTTTGGCTATTGTGGACATTGCTGCTATGAACATTGGGGTGCATGTGCCCTTTTGAATCACTACATTTGTATCTTTAGGGTAAATACCCAGTAGTGCAATTGCTGGGTCATAGGGTAGCTCTATTTTTAACTTTCTGAGGAGCCTCCATACTGTTTTCCAGAGTGGCAGTAGCAGCTTGCATTCCTACCAACAGTGTAAGAGGGTTCCCTTTCTCTGCATCCTTGCCAACAAGCTTTCAAAAGCTTATAATATTAATATCAAACTATGTAGGCAGATTCAAATTTGTCTCACAAATGTCATTTAAAAATTTTTTTTGCAGTTTTTTTGAATTGAGATCAGAATAAAGTTCACATACTGCTTTTTGGATGATACATTGCCTGAATCTCTTAATCTATAGATTCCCTTTCTGTTTTTCTCTTTCAGATTTTTATTGAAGAAACTAAGTTTGTCCTGTAGACTTTCCCTGTAGACTAGATTTGCCGATTACATCCTTGTGGTGTCATTTAATTTTTCTTGTTTTGGTATATTCTAAAGTTGGATCTAGAAGTTTGATTAGATTTTGATTTCTTTTCACTGGAGGCGGGGAGAGGCAAGACTGCTTTGTAGGTGGTGATAAATTCTCAATATATGATGTCAGGTTTTTTTTTTTTTTTTTTTTTTTTTTTTTTGTGAAGTTAGTGATTGTTGGTGTGTAGTGGGTGAATGAGTGGTTCTCAACCAGGGGTAATTTTGCCCTTGAGGGTACATTTGTCAACGTCTGGGGACATTTTTGGTTGTGACAACTAGGAGGGAGAGGTTCTAAAGTCATCTGGTTGGTAGAGGCCAGGGATATTGCTGAGCATTGGCAGTGGGTAAGACAACCCTCACAACAAAGAATTATCTGCCCCAAACATCAATACGGTCAAAATTGAGAAACTATAGTTTAGATTCATTAATTTATTTAGGATTGAGTAATGTTATTTTGTCATTCTTAGGTTTATTAGGTATAATGTTTGTGTTGAGAGAAATTGGGCTTATGTTAACCACCCCATCCCACTCTCTCGCTCCTGCTCCCAGGTCCTCCTCACCCATCTTCCCCCCAAAAGAAGTAGATAGGTGTTTAATTCAATTACGTTAGGTAAGTGTATCTTAACCTATTTGAGGTTCTGGATCTTTTTAGGTATGCTGTTAGTGTTGAGGTATTTACATGTTCTTAAGAACTATAGAAAAGGATATGTTACTATTTTGTTGATTTCTTCAACAACCTTGATACTGAACATATAAACAAAACAATGAAGTTATGTGGTTGTCAGGGTAAAAAAGATGCCAGGTCTAGAAGTATAGTGGTTGAGTTCTTGCTTTTAAAATTTTTATAATTTAAAGAAATCTTTTTTTTTTTTTTTTTTCCAAAACAGTTCTAACATTTTGAATCATCATTAGAGTGGGCTCTTTTTGGGAAATAATTCTTTGATTTGCATCACAGATGGAGTGATCTAGGATTCCAGGAAACCCTCCCCCTTTTTTTAAATAAATGGAGGTACTATTAATAATTATTCCAAGACCAAGCATTAACTAATACTGTTCTTAAGCATACTAAAATTCGTGGTCGCTCTAGTCCTAGGGAAACAGCAGGTTTTTGGATATATGTCAGTAAATTAATGGCCCATAGAGTCTTCAGTGGAGTTGTGTTCAGTACTAGGAACAAGTGCCGCTCAGCATGTTCCCTGGGCTGTTGAGAGCTGGAGGCAGATGATACTAAAGTGTTGACTGCTCTGTTTTTGCAAAGTTGTATTCTTGGAATTATTAGCTCTTTTAGTTACTATCAACTCTGTATTATGAAATCTAATGTGTATTTAGTGGTAGTGTTTTTTTCCAGGATTGAATGTGGTTTTAATTAACTTGTTATTTTATGGTGTTTTATCACCTGTTTAATTCTTTGTGTTCAATTAAAAAATTTTTTTTTGTTTATTTTGAGGCCTCCGGTTCTACTTGAAATTTTCCATATTTCTTAAAATATATTGCATTTTATTTATGCCCTCCATCCTAATGTGTGTTGATGACATATTATTTTCTAGGAAAAAAATACCAATTTATCTTGACTGATGGGTTGTCAACAAGGAATTTCAGTGGTCTTATGTATACAAAGAACCTTTATGATTAAATATACACATTGTTTTGTGTTGAGACAAGGAACAGATTGGGGACAGTGCATTATTAAGTGAAATGGAGTTCTCATAGTTTATATACATTGACCTGAATATCACAAAGTGTTATTTTAAAGGGTGTATCAACATTTTGGTATCCAATTATTTTCACCTGTATTAAAGGAATTTGAGAAGATAGGAAGAGAACGATGGAGAAACTGATATACTAGAATGTTATATGCATTTTTAAGTTTATTGGTCCTGGGAAAGGGTGTGTGTGTGTGGGGGGCTGTGTGTGTGTGTCTGCATTTGGGGGTGGGTGTTGTTGAGTACAGGAGAGGCTTATAAAATAATGTATTTGTTGAATCTCAAGAGAGAAAAATTCATTTAACTTAAAATTTTTCAGGTTGAGTATTACCAAAGATAAGAAAATATGAAGTGCTTGCTTTTCAGATATTGACAAGCATTGATTAGCAACAGAAATCAGAGCTACAAAATTAGAACATGTTCATTTTAGGATAGCATGAGGCGAGCATAAATTTAATAAGATTTATACATTTAATTAGCATAATGCAAATTGATCATAGTGCATATTGTTTGGGAAATAATATAAAAAGCTATGAAAACTTTTGTACTTTTTGCTTTAACATAGTTATTATTAGTGTTATATCTTATATATAATATGTTTTTATAGAATAAAATGTGAATGTCTAAGAGCCTAATGATTTCTGTGTTAGTCATTCCCAGTACATGCAGGAGAAATCAGTTTGATGTGAATCTGAGAATATGTTTCCCATGCCACCTCAGGGTATAACTCCACCAGGGACTGCTCCAGCTGTCACTTCAATAAGCAGCATCAACAACACAGTTCCAACAACTGGCAGTTATAATACGAAGAATGATCCCAGGGGACTCAGTGTGTTCAAACAGGAGAAGCAGAAGGTTTGTTTTAGGGAGCTAACAGCCATAGGAGTTTTCTAGTGTTACTGGTTATATTAATGTAGTTTACCTAGCACATATATTATGAGTATATTATATGAAGTAGATAGAATTGAAATCTTCAGCTGTGTTTAAAAAATACAGTAGAACCACAGATCACTTAAAAATCAGGCACAGAAACTATTCTCTGTTCTAAAAAAGCAAATTGAGCACTTAAAATCTCAGCAGTGAGCAGGACAAATTAAGAGTGAACATTATGAAGTTATGAAGTTGGTATGATTTTTTTCTGTCATTGGGATTTTGGGAGCATTCTTTAAAAAAGGAGTTAAGAGCTTATTTGAGTAGAGTAGCAGGTATAGCAGTAAAGGTAGGAGCTGGCAAACATTGATCTCCAGGCAAGTATTTGTTCATATATATTTAAAAAAAGATAAATGGAATTATTATTTTGTTATCAAACACAGATAATGGTAACCCCTCTTTAACTATCATTATTATTTACAGTGCCCCAGGGTAGGAGAATATGTGGTTAAACCCTAAAGGTCTTAGGTCATAGTTGAACTTGTGCGTGTGCATGCATGTGCATGTGCGTGTACATGTGTGTGCTTAACATCTACTTAAGATGACAGCATGTCAGTAATGACTTCTGGGTGGTGTAATGGGTGCTGTATAGATTCCCTTTACCATTTTTTTGCTTACTGTATACTTGAGGAACCCTACAGTTTGAACAGTTTGCTTATACTTTGATTTAGTGTTCCAGAGAATATGTAACTGAGGCTTAAAAAAATTTGATCTTTATCTAAATGTCTGATACTTTTATTTTAGTTACTTATTTCTGGGAATCATGATTCTACAGAAACAGTAAATTGGTTTTTTAAGAGTGAAATTTTAAGTCTCCAGTAACCTTGTTTTTCAAATACTATCTCTTCCTAGGTCAAGGCCTTAGTTATGCCTATAACAATTTCATGCCACAGCCCTTAGTTTTAGTCATAATTTCCTTTATAGACTTTAAAACATCTTTTTTGAAGATTTTATTTTTAAGTTACCACCCAGTGTGGGGCTTGAACTCACAGTCTTAAGATCAAGAGTAGTACGCTCCACCGACTGAGCCAACTAGGTGCTGCTCTGCCTTCATGTTCATTTACATCCCTTACTCATTATAGTCACAGGAATGTAGCCTCATACTTCTGTTCCTTAGCTCAAGGCTTGGCCTTCACAAGGCTTTATTGCAAAAACCTGTTTTGCCTTACATTTTGCTTTGTCCCTTCTGTTTTCAATCCCTTGCTCTGGTTTTCTAATTACCCCCAACGGGTAATTTAGAATACTGGAATTGAAATTCTGATGGTTGTTAAAGAAGAATAAAGAAGTAAGTTCAGTTTATGGATGGAAAGGGATTATTGCAGATAGGCTAAATAATATAAAATAGTGGAAAATGTACAAGTTGTGAAATATTTTTTTGTCTTGATATTGTGGCCTTGACCTTCCCATTTACTCTAGTTGCAGTGGAAATTTAATGTAATACAATGTTACTATTCATCAGTTTCCTAAGAGTCACAGCATGTTGAATCCCTCTAGTTTGCTTATTTCATGGTTCTCAGAACGACCGCTTTCCTCTTTCTGGACCAGCCTAAAGCAGCTCTCAAGAATGAGCTGTTTTCCTGGAGCCAAACCTCAGTAATGGAGCTCCTGAATGGAAGTATGCATTTAAAGCCTCAGCAGCCTTAGTGTTCCCTTCAGACTTTTCAGATGGTTACTATATGTATGACTCAGCCCCCTGCCTAACTCCCCCTTTTATCCCCCGGTTAAGTTAGGTTATATATGCTTATACTTTAAATATACACAAATAAATTAGATTTCATTGCATCTGCTATGTATGTTGACTGGTTTGTAGGGAGCCTAAATAGTACTTGACAGAAGTGTACTCCCAAGTAACTTGTTTCATGTCTGCTTGACTCACTGTTGAAATGTGTTTTTAAGCTTCACTGTATCTTTTGCGTTCTAGCCTTTATGTTTATGCTTCACAAATTGGTTATGACATTTCCTTTTTGTTATAAAGAATATAACATTAAAAAAAATTTCAGTGAAAAAGAAAAATCTAATTCTGTCAACCATAAGAAGATATTCGTTGACATGTTATTTAAAATCCCAGAGTGGGAAGCTACCCATGAAATGTCTAAGAAGAGTGAGATTGTTAAGTAGTTTTGTTTACGCACAGAATAGAATATTTAATGACATACCATGTCACTTAAAATGATAATTAAAAGATGAACATACAAATGGATAAAGAAGAAAATGTTAGTGTATGCTGATTTTATAAAATGTGCATATGAGAAAATATTGAAAGTAATACATAAATAACACTTGGGTTGGGTTGATGAGATGGGTAGTTTCCCTCTGATAATTCTGAATTTTCTGGAATTTCAAGAGTTCATTTAAAAATAAGCTAATTGTGAGGAGTTGATGATTTCTCATTTTTGTTTTTTTTAATCTTCACTTGTTGGCCTCATGTATCGCCTCTTGATTTTTTTAGTCAGCTTTCTGGTTTTGAGTATATATTTTTTTCCAATTTCATAATCAGAACCTGAGGATTCCTTAGTTGCCATATTGTTGACTGTTGCTTTCATCTTTATAGAGAAAGACAGTGAGCTGCTCTCTTTTTACGAATTTGGACTTGTTCTAGGTTGGAATTGGAGCACACTTGAAAAATCATTTTGAAATGAATTCTAATTACTATTAAGAGGAGGATTAAGAAAGAATATTAATGGAGAGCAAAATATATTTGAAACAGATTTTTACGGATAGAGATGGAATTGGTCAGAATAGGGGAAGATAGGGTGAAGAACAAGAAAGCTAGTAAGAGGACAACTCAGAGAAAGAAATTAGAAGCGGGCTTCTTAAAACTCTTCACAGCTGAGAAGCTTCTGAAGAGAAACGAAAAAATCTGAATGTTGACAGTCAAATAGTATAGTGTTGTACATTAGAACCTCATTATAACATTACTGTTTTTACATGGGTGTAAGCATAGTGGTGAAATCACATTCCCTTCATAAGAGGTACTAGTTTTGCCCCTTGAACTAACAATTATTTACACTTAACATAAATTTGGGACCTGAGATGGTGTGGTAGATGTGTAACCTATTATTGAGTTCTGTGGAATGCCATGAGGTTGGTTTTGGAAATGTTTTTGTTAGAATTTATATCTGAATAAAGCAGTTAAAAATAATATTAAATTTCTAGCAAGTAAATTTTTAGTTGAAGAGATGACTTGTTGCACTAATACTGTTAAGGTGTAGGTGCTGGTATAAATGACATTCAGGTAAAGGACATTGAAGCACTTTAGACCACAGGCCCTGGGACACTTACTTAGGCACTGCCCTAGATATTTATCTATATTTGGTGAGAATTGGTAAGAATTGCAGTTTTAGGGCTCACAGTTTTAAAAGTGTCTAAGTATTACTGTGATTCCGTATGGAATTTCATGAATTAAAGCAAAACAGTGTTGGTGATGATTTGAAAGAATTATTTATGTATGAGTTTAAGAACATGTAATTAACTCCCTTACCACCTCCTTTTTTTTTTTTTTAAACTATGATATGTTTATATTTATTATTTCCCTTCTATGTTTATATCCTGGGTATTTTTTCCCATTAATAGAAGTCAGGTTTTAAGTTTTTCTTAGGTAGTCTTGTAATATCATTGGAATTATTACTATAGTATCCCCCTACCCCCACAGAATCTCATTTGAATTACAGAATCAGAGCACTGAAAATGACTGTCATATTTGGATTTTGGTTGGCGTCATTCCGCATACTTTCATTGAATAACTACTCTTGGCCAAAGTGCTGGGTTTTAGCACTGGTTTTTAGCACACCTATATCCACAAACACAGAAAGGAATGACTCTTGCTTTCCCAGAATTTGAAGTACTGTAGGAAGGAACGTCAGAAATACATTATTATATGATATATGATAAGTGCTATGGTAGAGGTAAGTGTGAAGAGTTTTGGGAGTAGAGGAGGGAGTGGGGTGCTTTTTTTGACTTCTCTTTCTGACCTTTATTGATTTAGTCCTGCTAAAATTATTCACAGATGACTGTAACCTTGGGTATTTTTAAAAAGTTCTTATTAATGAAATCATAACCTCAGAAATTTCCATTTAAATGATTTTTTGGAAAAGAAGGGTATGGAGTTTCAACTTGAATTTGTTTAAAATCTAAAGGAGATTTGGTCAGTTAAAAAAGTGCCACTATCTTTGTAATACAGAATGATCTGGAACCTAGCAAAACTGTTCCACTGAATGCTTCTAAACAAGATGGACCCATGCCAAAACCACATAGTGTTTCACTCAACGATACCGAAACAAGGAAACTCATGGAAGAATGTAAAAGACTTCAGGGAGAAATGATGAAACTATCAGAAGAAAATCGACACCTGAGAGTAAGTTGTTTTTGAAGATAAGTTGATTTAAATGAAGGCATAAGATATGTGAATATTATTAGGCTGTGTTATCCATCAGTTTTTAAATTTATCCATGGTCATTTCTCATTTTCCCTAATTTTATTATGTCTTAGCTTTTGCTCCCCACTCTTGCCTCTAGTTTTACGAAGGCTTCTCTTTGCCTGCAAGTTCCTTTCCTAGTAGATGCCCTAGTTTTTTGTGATCTAGCCGGTGGCATTGCTAGCTTCCTCTCTCGTTTTTTACATTTTTATGGCCTTTACATTTTGTGCCCTAGTCATATGACTTGCCTTAAATGGTGCTATCCCATATAGCGTAGGGACATACGTGGCTGTTGAGCACTTGAAATGTAAGTTTGAAGTGACATGTGTTGTAAGTGCAAAACACCCAATTGATTGCTTAGACTCAGTACAAAAGAAATACCTTTTTTTGTATTACTACGTATTGAAATAATATTTTGGTTATATTGGATTGAATTTTATTGTTAGAATTTTACCATTTTCTTTTTACCTTTTTAATGTGCTATTAGAAAATTTCAAAGTACATGGGTGGCTCACATTGGAAGCTTATTTTTATATTGGACAGTGTTGGACTAGAGTATCCTGAAGAGGCCTCTCTGTTAATGATAGCTTTTTTGCTTTAGTTTGAGTTCTTCCTTCTGACTGATTTCGCTGTGAAATCCCATTCCTACCCTTATAAACCCATTATACATGTATGATTGTCTCTTGGTTCCTTGGTTCTTGTCATCTTTTCAGTATAACCTTTTCTAGGACTCTCTCCTCCCAGAAGAAAAGAAATATGGCTTTGGAATGCTCTCTCCTTGGTTTCCATGAAACCTCTGTCATCTTTTAACTGCTCCTGTCTGTTGGAGGTCTTTCTCCCTCTAGTGGGCGGTAGTTCTTTAGAGGCAGGGACCTGTGCTCATTCATCTTTGCATTCATAGTACATGCATATAGTAGTCATTCTTACATTTGGGTGAATAAATGGATGAACTGGTGAATGAGGACTAATTGAATATGTGTGGGGTTTATTAATAATTTGTCTTGACAGTAATTATTTCAAGACCTGAATATCTTTAAATTGCCGTCAAAGTAGATGATACAAAAATACACATAAGTAAATAACCTAAATTAAGGGGCTTAATCTACATTTGATTCTTCCATCTGTTAAATGTATACAGAAACTACATATACTCTGAATCACAGGCACTGTATCTTGAATTGATCTGTGTTGAAATAATTGTTTATCTCTTCCTATTTCATAGTACCCCTCAGAGGCCCCCAGCACCTCTTGGGATAGTGGAAAGATTATCTTCATTTCACACTAATATCCATACACCATAGATTTTTAAGGATGCTCTTTTTGTTACCTCTACTTTATCTGCCATGACTTCTGTGGCACAGTTCTGTTCTTTGATAAAGATGGGCTCCTTAGCATGACAAAAAGCCACTGTTTGTTTCTTGGCAGGAAGGGGAGAAGTGGAAATGGTAGGAATGCCATAAGTAGGGCAGGGCTGGAATATAGGAAGAGTGGACAGGGAGAGAGGTGAGATTTGGGTGCTGGTATCTCCTTTTTATTTATTGGCTGATGTTTTGTAGGAGATGTTATTTGAAAGAGTGTTTTGCTGTTTACAAGACAAAAGAACCTTGAAGGCTACTGGCCTGTAGGATCAATTTCAGGTGCTTTATTAACATTTCATGCATAAGACCCATCATAATTTATCACTGTTCCTTTTTATTCCTTTAGTCCTGTGTTTCTTAATCCAGACTGTTCATCTGAATCTCCTAGTGAGCTTTTTAAAAATACGGGTCCTCTCCAGACCCAGTAAATCAGAATCACTAGGAGTATTGTTTAAAGTTCTCGATGGGATTGAGAATAATTTTTTCTTCACATAGGACTAATGAAAAATAAGACTAAAAAACCCCAGCAACCCTCAGAAAATCCAGTAATTGGAAATAAAAAAGTATGACCTGAGGTGGATTCTGTAATTCATTTGGCATTAGTAAGCATACTAGAGAAATCACTGTGAGAAAATAAAAATGAGCTTGCACTAAGGAAGTAAAAATCTGTCCTGTCATTCATCTGGTTGAGATGTTGGACACAGATAAAGCCAGTTGCCTAGGTAACAGGTATCAGTATTTCCCCTGGGATCACACTGTGACTGGTAAAGTGTCATAACAACCTTCTATTTTGAGTGACTATTGCTTTCTTACTGAGAAACCTTGTCCCATAAAATCACACTGTCAAAAACTTTGCTGTGTGAAATCATACCGGTAAGAACTGAGCAGCAGCCCACTCTTGTCTAGAGGATGTGAGTCACTGACACAGAGAAGTAGCCTCCCTTTCTAGTCCAGGGGCATAGCCTCTGATGGGGGGTGGGGGGGGTGGAGGGTTTTCTGTATACAACATTCCATAGCTGTTGTAGTTTGTTGTTTTTCTGAAGAAGTAGGATTCGGCATCTCCTTTGCAGTAGAGACCCAGTGCTGACCCTTCCACACATGGACCTCCTGCTTTGAACTCATCAATACACTTGCTTTTTAAATTTTATCCTGAAATTCCCCTTTCTTCCAGATCCTGTAAAATTCCTGTCTTTTCCTTAGGCCAGATACTCCCTGTGCTGTGTGGGCACCCTGGTTGCAGTGTGTCCATAACCCTGTTGGACCACAGCTTTGCTCCTGGTGGTCTTTGGTAACAGTGTAAAGATACCATGGGCCACCACGGAAATAAGTGCACGCACAGAGCTCTTCCTTACTTAATATATTTTAGTGACATTTTTCCCTTCTGTGTAACTATATCCGTATCTGATTTTTCACTTTTTTAGGAGTACATTTTTCAGCTCTAGTTTTTAGAATCGGCATTATTGAGGTATAATTTATATTCCATTGAAGCACCCATTGTGAGTGTACAATTCAGTCATTTTTAGTAAATTTATAGACTTGTGCAGCCATTACTAGACTCCAGTGTTTGAATGTTTCCATCAGCCTAGAAAGTCATCTTAGTGCTGGTTAGCAGTTAATCCCTGTTCCCACGCAGCCACGTGCATGCTGATCCGCTTTCTGGCCATAGAGCTGTAGCTTGGCCGTTTGACTGTATGCATATTTGTTTTTAAAACCTTTTTGTGCATATATTTTTTTCAGGATGAAGGCTTAAGGCTCAGAAAGGTAGCACATTCGGATAAACCTGGATCAACCTCAGCTGCATCCTTCAGAGATAATGTCGCCAGTCCTCTTCCTTCCCTTCTTGTCGTAATTGCAGCCATTTTCATCGGGTTCTTTCTAGGGAAGTTCATCTTGTAGAGTGAAGCATGCAGAGTGCTATTTCTTTTTTTTTCTCTTGACCAGAAAAAGATTTGTTTACCTACCATTTCATTGGTAGTATGGCCCACGGTGACCATTTTTTTTTGTGTGTACAGCGTCATATAGGCTTTGCCTTTAATGATCTCTTACGGTTAGAAAACACAGTAAAACAAACTGTTCGGCTCCTGGACAAATTGTATATTACCAGATCATCACTAGCAGATGTCAGTTGCACATTCAGTCCTTTATGAAATTCATAAATAAAGAATTGTTCTTTCTTTGTGGTTTTAATAAGAGTTCAAGAATTGTTCAGAGTCTTGTAAATGTTATTTTAATAATCCCTTTAAATTTTATCTGTTGCTGTTTCCTCTTGAAATATGATTTATTTAGATTGCTAATCCCACTCATTCAGGAAATGCCAAGAGGTATTCTGTGGGGAAATGGTGCCTCTTACAGTGTAAATTTTCTCCTTTACCTTTGCTAATATCATGGCAGAATTTTTCTTATCCCTTGTGAGGCAGTTGACTGAGTTTTTTCATCCTTACAATCCTGTCCCATGGTATTTAACATAAAAAAAAATAATAAAACTGTTAACAGATTCTTGCTCGATAGCTTGTTTGTGTGTCGTGTCATTAGGCGGGGGTTCCAGGGAGTCCACTGAATGGTAATTTGAAATTTATGATGCATAATTTTATTTTGCATTGAAACCCTTTCAGATGTTACAGTATTTATAATTAAAAATCCTCATTCTGTTAAGGAAAGGGATTGATAAAATTTTAAGCTACTTTTGGTATTTTCGAAGATCATAGTTTGTCTTCAAGATAATATAAAGAAATCCCATGAGAATACAAAGACTATAATTTTAGTCCATTTATATGTATGCCCTATGGCTCTGTTGCATTTGATTCTTCTAGTATATTCTCAAGGAAGACTTATTCTCCTTGGTTCTAGTCCAGTGCTTTTTAACCAGCCTAAGAACTCCTTTTATTTTAGAACATTTCGTAATAATAGTTTAAAAGTAGGTGTTTTTCCTGCTCAATCTGACATTCAAAGTAAATTTCTATTATGGAAATTTGGAATTAGTAAGCAAGTCTTAGGAGTTTTCTTTGTGGAAAATGACTTTATCCTTTGCAGATCTACCTGTTAATGTGAAACATTTTCAGTATAAATATGCATTTTGAGGTCTGATTCTTTCTTGCACTTGGTCTTATGTCTTCATTTATTTCACTTGTACTAGCATAGAAAAGTTTGGAATCAGAGACAGTATATTCAGTTTTTCTACTAAGGGCAGTCGAGTATAAGTGACTCTTGATTCCTGAAAATAGGTGTTAGTTTTGTAAACGATGCACTTGTTTCTGAAAGGGAAACTAGACTTTGGGACTTGATGCGGTGCAGTGAAGTGTGTTAGGCCCAGGTCTCTGTATACAGTTTATAAACAAGTGAAATATTCCTTACAGTTATTTTGGTTGCCTTTTCATTTTGACTATGTTTTGAGTTTGTCAGGCCACATGTGGTGTGTCATTGTACCCTGTGGCATCTTATAAAGCCTCTTGCCTTGTGCACAAAAGTTAATAAAAGCAAACAAGTAATGCCTATCCATGACTAGCACGCTATTACAAGTAACGTTTTCACTGTTGTTCCAGCGCTTTACAGTCGTCGTAAAATTTCCCTCCCTTTCTGATAACTGGAAAAGCATGCTGAAAAAACATCTTGCGTTTTGTCCCATAAATGCAAAATCAGTAATTCCTTGGCTTAAAGCTCTCTATAAAAGTCAGCATTATTGATGATAAGTATCAAGCTTGATATTTCATAGCTATAATTTTTTGAAAAATTTGAGTTCTCAAAAATTTAGCAGAATCCCGTTTTATGGGAATGCTCCTTAGAACTCATTTATTTCAGCCCCCTTTTTTATAGTTCAGGAATCTGAGGCCTTTCTGAGAATTAAGGGAACTTGTCCTGTGTCTCACAGGTAGGTAGAGGTAGAGCTGGAACAGGGAGATCTGCTCTCCTGACTCTAGCTTAGTGTCTTTTCTGGTAACTTTGTAGAAAAAAAAAATTGCCTAATTTGACATGACTGAAATTATGAACATAAGATGCTATTTAATAAATGTATGTGAAATTTCATATCCTAAGATTGTATCACAGGCTACTGTTGAATAGACTCATGTATATTTGGTTTTAGTGTTATAGGTTAGAACCCTCCCCCCACTGGTAATATTATGAAATACAATGTATTTTTAGATAGGCATTTTACAAAATGCATTATGCAAAGGTTGGTTTTCGGGTAGATTGTAGTCTGGGCAGTATCTGGAAAATAAAGTATACATGGGCTTTTTAACTGCTTTACACGTCGGGAGATGCTCTGATTGTATAGGAGACCTAATTTCTATTCTTTTAATTGCTGTATCAAATGTGGTCAGATTATTTTACTACCAGCGGTTACTTTGAAAGAGTCCAACTGTATTAATTGACTGATAATATATAGATTAAATTGTTTGTCTTCATTCCTTACATGTTTAGAAATTTTTGCTTTGTCTGCCTGCTTACTCGTGTATGTAAGCATGAGGGAAATACATTGTTGCTAATACTGAAATCACAATCAAGTTACTAAGGCCTTAAGTTCATATGTGACGCTAAATGCACTACCTTATTTCATTCTATAACTAATGTACCTTAACTTTGCCCATTCTTGTGTTTACAAGAAACAAATTTAAGAATTGTATTCTGAGTGTGTGGTTTGTTACCTTTAAAAAAGAAAAAGAAATGACACTTGGAAAAAAGTATGTAACAAATTCAAAAGTTCTGGTCAAAGAAAAACAGTATTTTTATTTTCTCCTTTAAGTATCTTAGCTCAGAAATTCTCCTAAAATTGAGATTATCTGCTGTGGGGATTATTTTTGGATTTTAATCATTCAAAATACGCCACTCTGAAAACAACTTCTATCAGTAAGATTAAAAAAAAAAGTTCTTAATAGGGTAGATCCCCAAATTGTGATCTTTTGCCACTTTAAAAACATTCAAGTGAGTTTTCCTAGAGTTTTGCACATTCCTTTTCAGTGATTTTGGTGTGTGCATAGATTTTTTAAAAATTCACCTATATGAAGTTAGGGAAAGATCAATGTTTACCGTATGGAAAAACAACAAAAATAAGAAGGTAAATAAATGATCTTTATTTTCTAGCTTTCAAAGGAAATCAGACTATTGCGTGAATAAATAAACTGTTTAAAAATGTGGTGAAGTGTCATTTTCCTTTCCAAGAAACAAAAAAAGGAATTTGATTTCAACAGATTATGATGGTTTGTGTGTTTATGTTAAATAGTAGTAATCAGTCACTCACCAGGGCTAGTCTTTTGCTTAGTGACCTAGGTGTAAAGTACTTTTGCATGGAAGTGGGAACAGCTGGATCTTTCAGTTCCACATTTGATAGCCCACTGTTAGAAGCCATGCTTCTGGAGAGTTCTGTGCTGGAGCAGTGGCCTCTTGGAAATGCTCAGCCTGATAGGCATTGGTGTGAAGAAGTTTGGACATTAATATCCTTAAAGGAAATTTTATCATTCCACATTTCTGATTGTAGGAATGTTCATATGTTAATTTTTAGGGAATTTAGAAATAAAATTATAAAAATATAAAAAGTAATGGCAAATCATGCATCCAGCATTATCAGTTTATATGAACATTTGATTTATTTCCCTCTAATGATGCTTTTTAAGCATAATTTTGCATACAACTTTGTATCCTATAGTTTTCACATAATCATTTCTCTGTGGTGTATTGAAAACCAAGTAGAAGTTGTTGCCAGATTTCTTATGTTTACGATCACTTTCTTGACCACAAGGTGATGAACGTTTTATGTGTAACAGAAAGCTTGATTGGTCAGGTGGTTACCCTTCTAGTTAGGCACGTTCTCCTACTTACCTCATTTCCTTTGTTCTAGAACTCTCTCTCTTGTTTTCCAGTTGCTCCTTAACATAGCACCCATCCTTTTTCTTTTCGAATTTTTATTTAGATTCTAGTTAACATACAGCGTATTACTCAGTAGAAGGATTTAGTAATTCATAACTTAAATAGACACAACACCCACTGCTCATCATAACAAGTGCCCTTAATGCCCATCACTCATTTAGGCCATCCTCTTTGTAGTGAACAACTCTTTGCTATCATTGAGAGTCTCTTAAGGTTTGCTTCCCTTTCCTTTGTTTTCTTTTACCCCCTTCCCATATGTTCATTTATTTTGTTTCTTAAATTTCGCGTGAGTGAAATCATAGTATTTGTCTTTCTCTTGTCTTCCTTGGCTTAGCGTAATACACTAGCTCCATTCACATCGTTGCAGATGAAAGATTTCATTCTTTTTGGTGGCTGACTAATATTCCATCTCTCTCTCTCTCTCTCTCTCTCTCTCACACACACACACACACACACACACACACACACACACACACAGTCTGATTCCATCAGTAGATGGACGTTTGGGCTGTTCCCGTAGTTTGGGCTATTGTTCATAATGCTATAGACATCTGGGTGCATGTACCCCTTGGAATCTTTTTCTTTTCTTTGGGTGAATACCTACTGGTGCAGTTCCTGGGTTGTAGGGTAGTTCTGGGTTGTAGGGTAGTTCTGTTTTTAAGTTTGAGGAACTTCCAGAGTGCCTACGGCAGTTTGCATTCCTACCAACAGTGTAAAGAGGTATATAACGCCCATCTTGAAAAAAGGTGCAGGGAAGTACTAAGATAACTATTCTGTTTTTAGCATTGGTATTCAACTACAGTAGTGCATTAACTCATGTGAAGAGCTTAAAAAAATAAAGATACTGATGTTTGAACTGCAATACTGGCTTAATTGGTCGGGAGTGGAGATACCTGGCGTGGTCATTTGTTTTAAGCTCCAGTCATTTTAATTTGCAGCCAGACAACTGTTTCATAGGCTTTTAAATGCCAAAGCCAGATACAGATTATGTTTAAATAAGATTTAAGTCTTAAAATATAGGGCAATTGTATTTTCAGGATTCTTTGTATATTAATCTTAAACAGGTTGCGGGGTTTCTGGGTGGCTCAGTTGTTGAAGTGTCCAACTCTTGATTTGTGCTCAGGTCATGATCTCAGGGTTGCGAGATTGAACCCTGCATGGGGTTACATGCTGGGTGTGGAGCCTGCTTGATTCTCTCTCCCTCTGCTCCTCCCACCCCATTTCTCTTAAAAAAGTTAAGCTGCAGGAGTCACCTTTAGGTATTGCTTAATGCGAGAGCTGTCTTTGTAGAAGTTAGGATTGTAAAATGCCAGCAAATATTCTGTAAATACATGTGAGCTGTCTGCAAAGATGATTTGAGAAATTTTATGGGATTATTTTTAATTACCACTTTGCTCATAACCCCACGTGGTTATCTTTACCCACTAGGAAATTGATTCTGCCTGTCCTGTATTTCTCGAAGTATGAGATGGTTTTCAAGGTGCTTATGAATATGTGCCAGGTACTGTGTGTCAACTCATTAAGTCCTCACTCAGGACCTTTGAAGGGGGTACTGTTCTTATCTGCATCGTGTGCTGGGGCAGACAGGTTCGCAGAGAGGTTTACACAGCTTTAACAGCACAGGACTTTGATCCTGAGGGTCTGAT